TCAAATTCAGGTTTGATATTCCTTAAAAAAATGCCTAGTGTTCCGTGTTCACACGCACCACAAGTCGTGATTGAACTGGGCTGCCGTTGTTGTTTCCAACACGCTGAAGTGCACGATAGAATAGCCAGCATAAAAGTGCCAGGCAAAGCGACAGTACCTTATTGTTGCTTGACCCTAGGTGCAGCCACGTGAGCAAGATATTGGATCACCTTCTTGGTGTTCTCCGTTTTACCAGCGCCTGATTCACCCCTGAATTTGTAAATAATACCAGCCATTGATAAAAATCCATAGGAAAAAAACAAGATAGTTACGAACGTGCAAAGAATGGACTGGTCCTCTCGATCCTGAAGCATACTGCGGTACGCTTCGTCAGTGACGGCGAAAATATGAGGTGGCATCTCTTTTCTCTTCTTTCCCTGAAGGTAATTAATTGGCGTCAGATGTCTGGTCTGGACCAAAACCATAACAGTAGATGTGGCCCCAGAGATACTCAGAACTCAGGATGGGGATGCTCAGGAATATTTTCAAAAACCATCCAGTATCTCTTTCCTAGCCACCTCGGTATCTTTGGCTGTCATTGCATTAATACCTTATGAGCCTCTCGAGGATGGTAGATGGAACATCTTACTAAGGTGGCCAGAAACTTAATGAAAGATCATGTTCATACTTGTGCGAATGGGGAATCCGGGCGATATGGGAAAAATAACAATACCGCGACGATTAAGAGACTCAGCTTCAGAAACACAGCGTCGCCCCGGATCACCGAGTCTCGTCCAATACGCTACTTCGCTCAAACTGTCCGACTGTCGGGACCTCCACCGCATCGCTAGGCCCGGCGCCTTTCGATACGCGTGAATTTCCCTTGCGCGCCTATCGCCGCAAAGCAGTCACTGTCGCACAGTCACAAAACTATGAAAGTGACCATTAAGACGTTCTCAAGAAATGTCCGTCTTCGGAAACTCAAAAATGGTTCAAATTCACGCTCTGAGCCATCGAGCGCCTCATCTTCTAGGCCTTCTAGGCCACTTCAGTAAAACCTCCATCTGTCAACCTCGAAATACAGGCACATAAAATACTAACACAAACAACTTCAATCCTCTTACATAATAGAAACGTTCACTGTGTTCGTAGTAAAAGTTATACCATCGAGTTATTTGGACGTTACTCAGGAAACTGACCTTGTATTGTTCCGCGATGGAATCGGTATAGATAGGGAGTCGTTTGTACGGATTGACAACAACACAAAAAAGCCCGGAGTATGTCTGCAATGTGATACAATGAGAAGGGGTCATTGCCCTCGGAATCTCCCTTCAGTATGCTAAATTATCATCAATTTATCTAATATCTATTTTATCCTCTAATTTCCCTGCGTTCAGGGATAGAGCAGCGGATAAGGTTTCACTAGATATGATATCAGTAACGCAACTGCGCTAAAACTCACGTAGATAAGGTTGGAGAAAAAGCGTTGCCTGAGGTTATGAAGAACGGAAGCCTCGTTCAAGCAAGACATGCTTGACATATCCTCACACTTATCAAATCTAGGTGGATTAACTTTCTGGTAGTCATCACGACTTACACGCTGACGTTCATGTGTATCGAGTAATTCGACTAACACACAACCTAGAAAAATATTCATAAAATTGGTGAAGCTGAACAGGAGGAAGGTCGTTATCCAGATAACTTACCCTCATTATCCGCTTCACTGATTATAAACGACAAAGCAAAACCATCTTTCTCGTGAGGTACCCATACAAGAGTTTTGCCGTGAGCCTCTGCAGCTTTTATGCGACCAGCCAATTCATTGTGGCTCGCCTGAATCGTAGATTAAAGTAATGAACGGTGCTAACCCAACAAGATCCGTAATCCAATGCGTTATGTGAGGGCATAACACGACGTCGCATGACAGCTCTATGACCAGGAACTACCTCGTTACGAAACACCCTTGCATTTGAATTCTTTGATTTTTGAATTTGGAAAGCACCCAGCGCTCGAGGATTAGGAACTTAACAGGCGCATTCAAAAGGATTGAGGGAATTGTGTGCTTCGGAAGGGACCAATCTCAAGGTGCAGGAGTGGTTTAGCCCCACTGGAGCATGGACACGAGGCACATAGCGCCGGACTGAGTTCAAATTGTTCATAAACTGCGAGTCAACTCCTTTGAGAGAAGATTTCCGCCTTGAAGAATGGTTTATCCACCGAGGAGCTCGAGTCCCCGAACTTTGACATGGGACATGGAGTGTACTTCAACGTGACGCAGTGGCCTGCATGGCGCTACGTGCCCCGCTGTATAGTGTAGTTCGCTGCGGACGGTTGGGGTGTCAGTGCGGCTGCGTTTGGCGCGGTGCCAAACTCGTTCCACCCGTTGTTAAACGGGCACAATACTGTATCATATCCTTCGTACTCGTTTTCTAACACTTTTTGTCGCATGCACGTTTCAACAAGAAGGCAGAGAACGGCTTTA